GTCCGGACACAAGCATGCGTCCGGACACAAGCATGCATCCGGACACAAGCATGCGTCTGGACACCAGCATGCGACCGGACTCAAGCATGCATCCGGACACAAGCATGCGTCCGGACACAAGCATGCGTCCGGACACAAGCATGCGTCCGGACACAAGCATGCGTCCGGACACAAGGATTCGTCCGGACACAAGCATGCGTCCGGACACAAGCATGCGTCCGGACACCAGCATGCGACCGGACTCAAGCATGCATCCGGACACAAGCATGCGTCTGGACACAAGCATGCGTCCGGACACAAGCATGCGTCTGGACACAAGCATGCGACCGGACACAAGCATGCGTCCGGACACAAGCATGCGTCCGGACACAAGCATGCGTCCGGACACAAGCATGCGTCCGGACACAAGCATGCGTCCGGACACAAGCATGCGTCCAAACACAAGCATGCGTCCGGACACAAGCATGCGACCGGACACAAGCATGCGTCCGGACACAAGCATGCGTCCGGACACAAGCATGCGTCCGGACACAAGCATGCGTCCGGACACAAGCATGCGTCCGGACACAAGCATGCGTCCGGACACAAGCATGCGTCCGGACACAAGCATGCGTCCGGACACAAGCATGCGTCCGGACACAAGCATGCGTCGGACACAAGCATGCGACCGGACTCAAGCATGCGTCCGGACACAAGCATGCGTCCGGACACAAGCATGCGTCCGGACACAAGCATGCGTCCGGACACAAGCATGCGTCCGGACACAAGCATGCGTCCGGACACAAGCATGCGTCCGGACACAAGCATGCGACCGGACACAAGCATGCGTCCGGACACAAGCATGCGTCCGGACACAAGCATGCGTCCGGACACAAGCATGCGACCGGACACAAGCATGCGCCCGGACACAAGCATGCGTCCGGACACAAGCATACATCCGGACACAAGCATGCGTCCGGACACAAGCATGCGACCGGACACAAGCATGCGTCCGGACACAAGCATGCGTCCGGACACAAGCATGCGTCTGGACACAAGCATGCGTCCGGACACAAGCATGCGACCGGACACAAGCATACATCCGCACACAAGCATGCGCCCGGACACAAGCATGCGTCCGGACGCAAGCATGCGTCCGGACACAAGCATGCGTCCGGACACAAGCATGCGTCCGGACACAAGCATGCGTCCGGACACAAGCATGCGACCGGACTCAAGCATGCGTCCGGACACAAGCATGCGTCCGGACACAAGCATGCGTCCGGACACAAGCATGCGTCCGGACACAAGCATGCGTCCGGACACAAGCATGCGTCCGGACACAAGCATGCGTCCGGACACAAGCATGCGACCGGACACAAGCATGCGTCCGGACACAAGCATGCGTCCGGACACAAGCATGCGTCCGGACACAAGCATGCGTCCGGACACAAGCATGCGTCCAAACACAAGCATGCGTCCGGACACATGCATGCGTCCGGACACAAGCATGCGTCCGGACACAAGCATGCGTCCGGACACAAGCATGCGTCCGGACACAAGCATGCGTCCAAACACAAGCATGCGTCCGGACACAAGCATGCGACCGGACACAAGCATGCGACCGGACACAAGCATGCGTCCGGACACAAGCATGCGTCCGGACACAAGCATGCGTCCGGACACAAGCATGCGTCCGGACACAAGCATGCGTCCGGACACAAGCATGCGTCCGGACACAAGCATGCGTCCGGACACAAGCATGCGACCGGACACAAGCATGCGTCCGGACACAAGCATGCGTCCGGACACAAGCATGCGTCCGGACACAAGCATGCGTCCGGACACAAGCATGCGTCCGGACACAAGCATGCGTCCGGACACAAGCATGCGTCCGGACACAAGCATGCGACCGGACACAAGCATGCGTCCGGACACAAGCATGCGTCCGGACACAAGCATGCGTCCGGACACAAGCATGCGACCGGACACAAGCATGCGCCCGGACACAAGCATGCGTCCGGACACAAGCATACATCCGGACACAAGCATGCGTCCGGACACAAGCATGCGACCGGACACAAGCATGCGTCCGGACACAAGCATGCGTCCGGACACAAGCATGCGTCTGGACACAAGCATGCGTCCGGACACAAGCATGCGAGTGTCCGGACGCATGCTTGTGTCCGGACGCATGCTTGTGTCTGGACGCATGCTTGGGTCCGGACGCATGCTTGTGTCCGGACGCATGCTTGTGTCCGGACGCATGCTTGAGTCCGGTCGCATGCTTGTGTCCGGACGCATGCTTGTGTCCGGACGCATGCTTGTGTCCGGACGCCTGCTTGTGTCCGGACGCATGAATGTGTCCGGACGCATGCTTGTGTCTGGTCGCATGCTTGTGTCCGGACGCATGCTTGTGTTCGGACGCATGCTTGTGTCCGGACGCATGCTTGTGTCCGGACGCATGCTTGAGTCCGGTCGCATGCTTGTGTCCGGACGCATGCTTGAGTCCGGTCGCATGCTTGTGTCCGGACGCATGCTTGTGTCCGGACGCATGCTTGTGTCCGGACGCATGCTTGTGTCCGGACGCATGCTTGTGCCCGGTCGCATTGCCTGCTTGTGTCCGGACGCATGCTTGTGTCCGGACGCATGCTTGTGTCCGGACGCATGCTTGTGTCCGGACGCATGCTTGTGTCGAAACGCATGCTTGTGTCCGGACGCATGCTTGTGACCGGACGCATGCTTGTGTGCAAACGCATGCTTGTGTCCGGACGCATGCTTGTGTGCAGACGCATGCTTGTGTCCGGACGCATGCTTGTGTGCGGACGCATGCTTGGGTCCGGACGCATGCTTGTGTCCGGACGCATGCTTGTGTCCGGACGCATGCTTGTGTCCGGACGCATGCTTGTGTCCGGACGCATGCTTGTGTTCGGACGCATGCTTGTGTCCGGACGCATGCTTCTGTGCGGACGCATGCTTGTGTCCGGACGCATGCTTGTGTCCGGACGCATGCTTGTGTCCGGACGCATGCTTGTCTCCGGACGCATGCTTGTGTCCGGACGCATGCTTGGGTCCGGACGCATGCTTGGGTCCGGTCGCATGCTTGTGTCCGGACGCATGCTTGTGTCCGGACGCATGCTTGTGTCCGGTCGCATGCTTGTGTCCGGACGCATGCTTGTGTCCGGACGCATGCTTGTGTCCGGACGCATGCTTGTGTCCGGACGCATGCTTGTGTCGGGACGCATGCTTGTGTCCGGACGCATGCTTGTGACCGGACGCATGCTTGTGTGCAGACGCATGCTTGTGTCCGGACGCATGCTTGTGTCCGGACGCATGCTTGTGTGCGGACGCATGCTTGGGTCCGGACGCATGCTTGTGTGCGGACGCATGCTTGTGTCCGGACGCATGCTTGTGTCCGGACGCATGCTTGTGTCCGGACGCATGCTTGAGTCTGGTCGCATGCTTGTGTCCGGACGCATGCTTGTGTCCGGACGCATGCTTGTGTCCGGACGCATGCTTGTGTCCGGACGCATGCTTGTGTCCGGACGCATGCTTGTGTCCGGACGCATGCTTGTGTCCGGACGCATGCTTGTGTCCGGACGCATGCTTGTGTCCGGACGCATGCTTGTGTCCGGACGCATGCTTGTGTCCGGACGCATGCTTTTGTCCGGACTGTCAGAACATATAGCTTACCTGTTTGTGTAGGCTACAGCGGGGTATCCCATAGGGGGTACAACCCTCTTAGGGTTTGCTATTTGTACCTTTTTCAGACTTAGTCATTTCATTCCTGTTTTCTAATCTCACATGGTATAGAGCGAGTCGTTCTTGAAGGACCGATTTTTTTTAGGGCCCACCGAAGCGCGCCCCCCCGGGGCGCGAAAATTTTTTTTTAGCGACCCCTTCGGGTCGCATTTTCTATTGCGGCCCCGCCGCCTCCTAGTGCGGCCCCGCCGCCGTCTCTCATTGCGGCCCCGCCTGCTACTGCGGCCCCGCCGCCCGTTCCCTTACGGCCCCGCCGGCTCCTATTTCGGCCCCGCCGGCTCCCTTGCGGCCCCGCCTGCTACTGCGGCCCCGCCGCTCGTTCCCTTACGGCCCCGCCGGCTCCTATTACGGCCCCGCCTGCTCCTTTGCGGCCCCGCCGGCTCCTTTGCGGCCCCGCCTGCTACTGCGGCCCCGCCGCCGGTTCCTGTACGGCCCCGCCGGCTCCCATTGCGGCCCCGCCGCCTTCTATTGCGGCCCCGCCGGCTCCTGCATCGGCCCCGCCGGCTCCTTTGGTGGCCCCGCCGGCTCCTATTACGGCCCCGCCGCCTGCTCTTGCGGCCCCGCCGCCGGCTTCTATTGCGGCCCCGCCGGCTCCTGCATCGGCCCCGCCGGCTCCTATTGCGGCCCCGCCGCCTGCTCTTGCGGCCCTGCCGCCGGCTTCTATTGCGGCCCCGCCGGCTCCTGCATCGGCCCCGCCGGCTCCTATTGCGGCCCCGCCGCCTGCTACTGCGGCCCCGCCGCCGACTCGTTTGCGGCCCCGCCGGCTCCATTTGCGGCCCCGCCGGCTCCTACTGCGGCCCCGCCGGCTCCTATTGCGGCCCCGCTGTCTCTACAGCGGCCCCGCCGCCGGCTTCGTCACGCGGCCCCGCCCCCGGCTTCTTCACGCGGCCCCGCAGCTGCATTGCCGCGGCCCCGCCACCTGCTCCTATTCGGCCCCGCCACTACCCTGCAGCAGCCGAGCCGCCCTACAGCAGCCGAGCCGCCCTGCAGCTGAACCGCCCGGGAGCCGAGCCGCCCGGGAGCCGAGCCGCCCTGCACCCGAGCCGCCCTGTCGCCGAGCCGCCCGGGAGCCGAGCCGCCCGGGAGCCGAGCCGCCCTGCTGCCGAGCCGCCCGGGAGCTGAGCTGCTGTGCACCCGAGCCGCTCGGTCACCGTGCTGCCTGTCTGTCGAGCTACACGACCTGCCCTGCCCGGTGAGCACAGTCCCACTGTCACTGCTTGCTCTTCCCCTACTGCTTGCACTGCTTCGCTGTCGTCGCCATGGCCACCCCTAGTGTCCTAGCCTTTGACGCTGAGGGTCGCGCCATTGATTTCGAGGTCTGGCTAGATGACCTGCAACTGTTCTTACAGTGCGACAGAGCTGACGGCCTTTCTCTCTTTGACCTCACCTCTGGCGCCTCTCCTGCTCCTGCTGCTGATGCTGATTCCACTGTCCGCTCCCAGTGGGCCACCCGCGATGCTGCTGCACGTCTTGCTGTGCGTCGCCACCTCCCTACCTCTGAGCGCGCGCACTTTAGTCAGTACAAGAGTGCTCAGACCTTGTACGACGCTGTAGTTGCGCGCTACTCCTCCCCTGCCACTGCTGCACCGACTCGTCTCATGCTTCCCTACCTCTTTCCTGACCTCTCTGCCTTTCCCACTGTCGCTGACCTCATTACGCACCTCCGCACTAGTGACACTCGCTACCGCGCCGCCCTTCCTGCTGAGTTCTGCGCTAAGAACCCCCCCCCCATGTACATCACTCTCTACTACGTAGTCGCGCGCCTCCCTGACTCCCTTCGTGTAGTCAGGGACCAGTTCCTAGCTGTCTGTCCCACCACTCTCACCGTCGACCTCCTCGAGAAGGCCCTCCTCTCAGCTGAGAAGAGCATAGTTGCTGTAGGGGCTTCTCGTGGTGACCCTCGCACCCCCATCTTTGAGGGGTGCTCTCCTTCACCCTTGCTGCCCTCTATTGCCTCTGCTGCCGCTGCCGACCTGCTTGGTCTTGAGTCGGTCGGCGCGGCGTCTGCCCCTAGTGGGAGACGTCGCTCCAGCAGGAACAAGGGAAGCAGGGGCGCGAGTGGAGCTGGAGGGAGCGGTGGAGGTGGCGGAGGTGGCGGCGGTGGGAGTGGGGGTGGCGGCGGGAGTAGTGGTGGTGGTGGTGGTGGTGGTGGCAGCAGCGGCGGAGACGGTGGTGGTGGTGGCGGCGGTGGTGGAGGTGGCAGCGGCGGAGGTGGGGGCGGAGGAGGTGGAGGCGGTGGAGGTGGTGGAGGCGGTGGAGGCGGCGGCGGAGGAGCAGGAGGTTGTGGAGGGAGCGGAGCTGGCCGGGGTGGCACCCAGCAGCGTGGTGGCGGTGGTGGTGGCCAGCGCTCGCAGCGGCAGCAGCAGCAGCGCTCGCGTCGCATGCTTGTGTCCGGACGCATGCTTGTGTTCGGACGCATGATTGGGTCCAGTCGCATGCTTGTGTCCGGACGCATGCTTGTGTTTGGACGCATGCTTGTGCCCCGTCGCATGCTTGTGTCCGGACGCATGCTTGTGTCGGTCGCATGCTTGTGTCCGGACGCATGCTTGTGTCCGGACGCATGCTTGTGTCCGGACGCATGCTTGTGTCCGGACGCATGCTTGTGTCGGGACGCATGCTAGTGTCCGGACGCATGCTTGTGACCCGGACGCATGCTTGTGTGCAGACGCATGCTTGTGTCCGGACGCATGCTTGTGTCCGGACGCATGCTTGTGTGCGGACGCATGCTTGGGTCCGGACGCATGCTGTGTGCGGACGCATGCTTGTGTCCGGACGCATGCTTGTGTCCGGACGCATGCTTGTGTCCGGACGCATGCTTGTGTCCGGACGCATGCTTGTGTCCGGACACATGCTTGTGTCCGACGCATGCTTGTGTCCGGACGCATGCTTGTGTCCGGACGCATGCTTGTGTCCGGACGCATGCTTGTGTCCGGACGCATGGCTTGTGTCCGGACGCATGCTTGTGTCCGGACGCATGCTTGTGTCCGGACGCATGCTTGTGTCCGGACGCATGCTTGTGTCCGGACGCATGCTTGGGTCCGGTCGCATGCTTGTGTCCGGACGCATGCTTGTGTCCGGACGCATGCTTGTGTCCGGACGCATGCTTGTGTCCGGACGCATGCTTGAGACCGGACGCATGCTTGTGTCTGGTCGCATGCTTGTGTCCGGACGCATGCTTGTGTTTCGGACGCATGCTTGTGTCCGGACGCATGCTTGTGTCCGGACGCAAGCTTGTGTCCGGACGCATGCTTGTGTCCGGACGCATGCTTGAGTCCGTCGCATGCTTGTGTCCGGAGCATGCTTGTGTCCGGACGCATGCTTGTGTCCGGACGCATGCTTGTGTCCGGACGCATGCTTGTGTCCGGACGCATGCTTGTGTCCGGACGCATGCTTGTGTTTGGACGCATGCTTGTGTCCGTACGCATGCTTGTGTGCGGACGCATGCTTGTGTCCGGACGCATGCTTGTGTCCGGACGCATGCTTGTGTCCGGACGCATGCTTGTCTCCGGACGCATGCTTGTGTCCGGACGCATGCTTGTGTCCGGACGCATGCTTGGGTCCCGGTCGCATGCTTGTGTCCGGACGCATGCTTGTGTCCGGACGCATCGCTTGTGTCCGGTCGCATGCTTGTGTCCGGACGCATGCTTGTGTCCGGACGCATGCTTGTGTCCGGACGCATACTTGTGATCGGACGCATGCTTGTGTCCGGACGCAATGCTTGTGTCCGGACGCATGCTTGTGTCCGGACGCATGCTTGTGTCCGGACGCATGCTTGTGTCCGGACGCATGCTTGAGTCCGGTCGCATGCTTGTGTCCGGACGCATGCTTGTGTCCGGACGCATGCTTGTGTCCGGACGCATGCTTGTGTCAGGACGCATGCTTGTGTCCGGACGCATGCTTGTGTCCGGACGCATGCTTGTGTCCGGACGCATGCTTGTGTCCGGACGCATGCTTGTGTCCGGTCGCATGCTTGTGTCAGGTCGCATGCTTGTGTCCGGACGCATGCTTGTGTTCGGACGCATGCTTGTGTCCGGACGCATGCTTGTGTGCGGACGCATGCTTGTGTCCGGACGCATGCTTGTGTCCGGACGCATGCTTGTGTGCGGACGCATGCTTGTGTCCGGACGCATGCTTGTGTCCCGGACGCATGCTTGTGTCCGGACCCATGCTTGTGTGCGGACGCATGCTTGTGTCCGGACGCATGCTTGAGTCCGGTCGCATGCTTGTGTCCGGACGCATGCTTGTGTCCGGACGCATGCTTGTGTCCGGACGCATGCTTGTGTCCGGACGCATGCTTGTGTGCGGACGCATGCTTGTGTCCGGACGCATGCTTGTGTCCGGTCGCATGCTTGGTCCGGTCGCATGCTTGTGTTCGGACGCATGCTTGTGTCCGGACGCATGCTTGTGTCCGGACGCATGCTTGTGTCCGGACGCATGCTTGTGTCCGGACGCATGCTTGTGTCCGGACGCATGCTTGTGTCCGGACGCATGCTTGTGTCCGGACGCATGCTTGTGTCCGGACGCATGCTTGTGTCCGGACGCATGCTTGTGTTTGGACGCATGCTTGTGTCCGGACGCATGCTTGTGTCCGGACGCATGCTTGTGTGCGGACGCATGCTTGTGTCCGGACGCATGCTTGTGTCCGGACGCATGCTTGTGTCCGGACGCATGCTTGTGTGCGGACGCATGCTTGTGTCCGGACGCATGCTTGAGTCCGGTCGCATGCTTGTGTCCGGACGCATGCTTGTGTCCGGACGCATGCTTGTGTCCGGACGCATGCTTGTGTCCGGACGCATGCTTGTGTCCGGACGCATGCTTGTGTCCGGACGCATGCTTGTGTCCGGACGCATGCTTGTGTCCGGACGCATTGCTTAGTGGTTCCGGACGCATGCTTGTGTCCGGTCGCATGCTTGTGTCCGGACGCATGCTTGTGTCCGACGCATGCTTGTGTCCGGACGCATGCCTTGTTGTCCGGACGCATGCTTGTGTCCGGACGCATGCTTGTTTTTGTGTCCGGACGCATGCTTGTGTTCGGTCGCATGCTGTGTCCGGACGCATGCTTGTGTCCGGACGCATGCTTGAGTCCGGTCGCATGCTGGTGTCCGGACGCATGCTTGTGTCCGGACGCATGCTTGGTCACGGTCGCATGCTTGTGTCCGGACATGCGTCCGGACGCATGCTTGGGTCCGGTCGCATGCTTGTGTCTGGACGCATGCTTGTGTCCGGACGCATGCTTGTGTCCGGACGCATGCTTGTGTCCGGACGCATGCTTGTGTCCGGACGCATGCTTGTGTCCGGACGCATGCTTGTGTACGGACGCATGCTTGTGTCCGGACGCATTGCTTGTGTCCGGTCGCATGCTTGTCCGGACGATGCTTTGTGTCCGGACGCATGCTTGTATCCGGATGTATGCTTGTGTCCGGACGCATGCTTGTGTCCGGACGCATGCTTGTGTTTGGACGCATGCTTGTAGCCCGGTCGCATGCTTGTGTCCGGACGCATGCTTTGTGTCCGGACGCATGCTTGTGTCCGGTCGCATGCTTGTGTCCGGACGCATGCTTGTGTCCCGACGCATGCTTGTGTCCGGACGCATGCTTGTGTCCGGACGCATGCTTGTGTCCGGACGCATGCTTGTGTGCGGACGCATGCTTGTGTCCGGACGCATGCTTGTGTCCGGACGCATGCTTGTGTCCGGACGCAGGCTTGTGTGCGGACGCATGCTTGTGTCCGGACGCTATGCTTGTGTCCTGGACGCATGCTTTGTGTCCGGACCGCATGCTTGTGTGCGGATGCCATGCTTGTGTCCCGGACGCATGCTTGAGGTCCGGTCGCATGCTTGTGTCCGGACGCATGCTTGTGTCCGGACGCATGCTTGTGTCCGGACGCATGCTTGTGTGCGGACGCATGCTTGTGTCCGGACGCATGCTTGTGTCCGGACGCATGCTTGTGTCCGGACGCATGCTTGTGTCCGGTCGCATGCTTGTGTCCGGACGCATGCTTGTGTCCGGACGCATGCTTGTGTCCGGACGCATGCTTGTGTCCGGACGCATGCTTGTGTCCGGACGCATGCTTGTGTCCGGACGCATGCTTGTGTCCGGACGCATGCTTGTGTCCGGACGCATGCTTGTGTCCGTACGCATGCTTGTGTCCGGTCGCATGCTTGTGTCCGGACGCATGCTTGTGTCCGGACGCATGCTTGTGTCCGGACGCATGCTTGTGTGCGGACGCATGCTTGTGTCCGGACGCATGCTTGTGTCCGGACGCATGCTTGTGTCCGGACGCATGCTTGTGTCTGGTCGCATGCTTGTGTCCGGACGCATGCTTGTGTTCGGACGCATGCTTGTGTCCGGACGCATGCTTGTGTCCGGACGCATGCTTGTGTCCGGACGCATGCTTGTGTCCGGACGCATGCTTGTGTCCGGACGCATGCTTGTGTCCGGACGCATGCTTGTGTCCGTACGCATGCTTGTGTCCGGTCGCATGCTTGTGTCCGGACGCATGCTTGTGTCCGGACGCATGCTTGTGTCCGGACGCATGCTTGTGTTCGGACGCATGCTTGTGTCCGGACGCATGCTTGGGTCCGCACGCATGCTTGTGTCCGGACGCATGCTTGTGTCCGGACGCATGCTTGTGTCCGGACGCATGCTTGTGTCCGGACGCATGCTTGTGTCCGGTCGCATGCTTGTGTCCGGACGCATGCTTGTGTCCGGACGCATGCTTGTGTCCGGACGCATGCTTGTGTCCGGACGCATGCTTGTGTCCGGACGCATGCTTGTGTCCGGACGCATGCTTGTGTCCGGACGCATGCTTGTGTCCGGTCGCATGCTTGTGTCCGGACGCATGCTTGTGTCCGGACGCATGCTTGTGTTCGGACGCATGCTTGTGTCCGGACGCATGCTTGTGTCCGGACGCATGCTTGTGTCCGGACGCATGCTTGTGTCCGGACGCATGCTTGTGTCCGGACGCATGCTTGGTCCGGACGCATGCTTGTGTTCGGACGCATGCTTGTGTCCGGACGCATGCTTGTGTCCGGACGCATGCTTGGGTCCGGACGCATGCTTGTGTCCGGTCGCATGCTTGTGTCCGGACGCATGCTTGTGTTCGGACGCATGCTTGTGTCCGGACGCATGCTTGTGTCCGGACGCATGCTTGTGTCCGGACGCATGCTTGTGTCCGGACGCATGCTTGTGTCCGGACGCATGCTTGTGTCCGGACGCATGCTTGTGTCCGGACGCATGCTTGTGTCCGGACGCATGCTTGTGTCCGGACGCATGCTTGTGTCCGGTCGCATGCTTGTGTCCGGACGCATGCTTGTGTCCGGACGCATGCTTGTGTCCGGACGCATGCTTGTGTCCGGACGCATGCTTGTGTGCGGACGCATGCTTGTGTCCGGACGCATGCTTGTGTCCGGACGCATGCTT